TCCTGAAAGGATATTTGCTAAAATTCAGCAACTGACCCTGATACAAACTATAAGTGAAGATTGCAGTAGAAGTGACCCAAGTACTAGAAAAACCACCACTCAAAGGAACAGTATATATATTATATTAACCCAGGAAATTCTGAAGCCATTCACATTAAAAATGGAGACATAAAAAGACATCAGCTGTACCAGCTTTGTTTGGAGGCTGTGGCTGATTGCAATTGGACAAGGAAACAAATGAAGTAGGGTAAATGACAAGATAAAACACCGGGGAAAGGAGAGGACTGTATCATAACCGTCATAAATTATATTTATCAGAGACCAAGAGTTTCTAATAAATATTTACTGTCAAAAATAAATAAATATTTACTGTCAGTTAATAAGAACTTTTTAAAAAAGATTTTGTTTTTAAGTCATCTCTCCATCCAACGTGGGGCTTGAACTTACAACCCCAAGATCAAGAGTCTCACACTCTACCAACTGAGCTAGACGGGTGCCCCAATTAATAAGAATTTTTTGCTCAATATAGACAAATATACCAAATATAGCTATGTTCGTGACATGTATTTTAACATAGAAAAAAATCTTATTTATAATTATAATAAAATTATATACCAATAAGGAAATACAGGACTCATATCATAAGAATAGATTGCATTATGAAGACAACTATATGAATAATGGTTACTCCCGGGATTTGAATAAAGGTTCTTGGGCATAAGATTTAACATATTTTAGAAAGTTATTATTTCTTAAATATTTTATTTATTTATTCAAGAGAGACTCAGAGAGAGGCAGAGACACAGGCAGAGGGAGAAGCAGGCTCTCTGCAGGGAGCCTGACGCGGGACTCGATCCCAGGACCCCGGGATCACAACCTGAGCCGAAGGCAGATGGTCAACCACTGAGCCACCCAGATGCCCCAGAAGTTATTCTTTTTATAAGTTCTATATCACATTGATCCATTTCTAATAAAAATTCTCAAAAGGCTTTTTTTTAGGTGGGGGGGAGAGGGCTTGAGAAGTACTGGATAGAGTGACAGTGCATTTGGAAGAATGAGTAACTAGAAATTGCTACAAAAATTTTGGAAAAGAATAGCTAGAGGGTGGCTTTATGATCCTAAAAGACAGTGAACTTTCCTTAATACTAATACAATAGAGTGTGCTGCAGACAAACCAGAGAAGATGTAAAGATCAGTGACACAAAGCAGAGATTCCTGAAACAGATTCAAGCGTATTTGAGAACTTCTGTCAATAAGTGAAATTAGGATTTTAGGACCGAGGAAAATAATATTTTATTTAACAAAGGGTCCTGGCATATGTGGGCCGCCAAATTCCCATGTCATACGTGCGTAGATTGGGATTTTTGCTGTCGTACGTTGCCAACTAAAAAAATAGCAAATATAAAGAAAGAAAAACACCTTTTTTTCAGCTGAGGGAAGAGAGGACTGTTCCAGAAAAAACAGGAGCCACGAATGAAGCAATAGGAGACCTGACTATAGGAAAAGAGAGTTTTCTGTGAGGTGACAGCACCACAAGAGCAATCAGAAGACAAAGGACATGGGGCTCGGGTCCCCAGTGCCCAACGACCCAAGGAAAAACATGAGGGAGAAGTGTTTTAGGTTCACAGACAAGAAACCTGCAAATGATCAACAAGTGTATAGAGAGATGTCACAAAAATGCAAATCAAAGCATCAGCTGGGGGACGCCTGGGTGGCTCAGCGGTTGGGAACCTGCCTTTGGCACAGGTCGTGATCCCGGGATCCAGGATCGAGTCCCGAATCGGGCTCCCTGCATGGAGCCTGCTTCTCCCTCTGCCTATGTCTCTGTCTCTCAGTCTGTGTCTCTCATGAATAAATAAGTAAATCTTTAAAAAAACAAAAAACAGGGATCCCTGGGTGGCGCAGCGGTTTGGCGCCTGCCTTTGGCCCAGGGCGCGATCCTGGAGATCCAGGATCGAATCCCACATCGGGCTCCCGGTGCATGGAGCCTGCTTCTCCCTCTGCCTATGTCTCTGCGCCTCGCTCTCTCTTTCTGTGACTATCATAAATAAATAAAAATAAAAATAAAAATAAAAAAAATAAAAAAAATGAAAGTAAAATTTCTAAAAAAATTAAATAAATAAAAAATAAATAAAAAAACAAAAAACAAAACACACAAACAAAGCAGCAGCTAGGGAGATGCACCGAGCCCAGATGGCTCCTTTTACTCATCAGACCGACAAAACTTCGAGAGATGGCTAACACCCAGGACTGGTGATAGTTGGGGCCCACACCACAGATGAGGTTACCGCTTCGAAAAAAATTATCTAAAGGGCGCCTGGGTGGCTCAGTCGGTTAAGCCTCTGCCTTTGACTCAAGTCATCACAATCCCAAGGTCCTGGGATCGAGCCCTCCCTGCTCAGCAGGGAGTCTGCTTGAGATTCTCTCTCTTCCTCTGCCCCCTCCTCCCATTGACTTGGTCACTCTCTCTTTCTCAAATAAATAAATAAAATCTTTTTTTTTAAATAAATAAAATCTAAAAAAAAAAAAAAAGTAATCTGAATCTATGCAAGTACAAACTATGGATGCTCACCGCAACTCCAGAACCACAACTGAATGCGAGCAATCTTGCAGGAGGTTTCCTGCTGCGGTTGTGATGGCAAATGAAAACAAAACCACCTGAACACCCCAGAGTACGGAGACAGTGGAATAATGCATGTATGTTCACATTACTGCCTTTTGCTTAAAAAAAAAGTAGAGATAGCTGTATTCACCCCCAGTACTGTTAATACATGGAAGAGTAAGAGCAACTTGCACAGAAATATACATGGTATGATACAGTTACTAGAAAAATAGGAAAAAATCTTTTCTACATTATTGAGTCTGCGTATGTTAGTATGAATACAGAGAAAACGTAACATTCCTAACCGGGGGTAAGAGGAGAATAAGGAGGGAGCTGGAGATGATTGGCTCAGTGTTTGTACAATTGTGTATATAGTTTATTATAAGGAACAAGTTTTGCTGTTGTGGTTTAAAAAAATCCACTTATGCATGTGTGTGTATATAGAAATGCATGTATAGGTGCATATTGGAGGGTAGCAGCTAGCTAGAGATAAATCATATAAAGGGAAATATATCAACAGAAAATAGTGTGCTCCATTCAAACCCAACTCTGTAACTGGAGTGGAAACCATATATATACATAAACATAGAAATAAAAGAAGTTCATAAAAAAAAAAAAGTCCATCAAAATGGTCACAATTTTTTGTCTGGGTAGTAAGATTACTAGTAACTTTAATATTAAATGTTTTTTAAAAAATTTTTAAAAGTTGTATTTTTTTTTAAGATTGATATTTATTTATTGACATCATGCATGGGTGGAGGAAGACAAAAGGAGAGAGAGAATCTCAAGCTGATTTGGTGCTGAGTGCAGAGCCTGACATGGGGCTTGATTCCATGACCTAGAGATTGTGACCTGAGCTGAAATCAAGAGTCACTGGCTGAGCCACCCAAGTGCCCCAACTTGAGCTTTTTAAAATAATATAATGTGTTTTACATCATTTTTACTTTGAATGCACATTACATTTCTAACCAGGGAACCATTCCTTTAAAAGTCGAAGAAAGGGGTACTCTGGGAAAGAAAGATATAGAAAACAGGTTCATGACAATAGAAGTTTCTTGGCTAAAACTGAATAGCTAAATAGTTTCCTAAGAGCTGTAAGCAGGACACCTGGGTGGCCCAGTTCATTAATCATCTGATTCTTGGTTTCGGCTCAGGTCCTGTTTTCAGGGTCCTACTATTGAGCCTTGTGTCAGGCTCCCCACTGCGGGTGGAGACTGCTTAAGATTCTCTGTCTCCCTCTCCCTCTGCCCCTCTCCCCTCTCCCCCGGAGCTCCCCTCCTCAATTAAAAAAAAAAAAAAGAGCTATAAACAATAATTCTAAAGCAGTGAAATTATTAAAATATGAACATAGCGTGCTGCAAGCTTTCTCATTTTCTTGCCAATCCAGTTAATGACTCATTGTTACCGTTGCTAATACGACAATAAATTGTGGCAACACCCCCCTCCCCCAGAACTCTCAGAATTGTGTTCAAATATTAAGGATCAAGGAAAGAAAAGAGACAACGCAAACTTTATAGCTATTTCCTAAGGGAGGCCGACTTTTCCTATTTCCAGTAGGCAAGGCCTGAAGGTTTCCGCATCACCATTTTGTGTATTTCCTTAGTTTGTTATTACCAAAGAAATAAGGGGGTAGGAGGGTAATATCTTTGTGTACAAGTGAGATGATCGCCACGAGACTGTTAGTAAGTTCGTGTGCTAGGAAAGTCAAAGCGGTGAGGGATCTGGTAAAAATATATGTAAGAGTTCTCGTTACATTTTAAATATGCTTCTCTCACAAGGGAAACCTCTCTGCACCCGACCTTGCTGACGCTCTGTGAGAGCATGTTTCAATCATTCCGTATGTTTAAGAGCCCACGATGAATTGGAAGATCATGCTAGAAGCTGGAAATTGTAGGTAACTACCCCACCTAGTTATGGCTTTTTTGGAGGTGAATTCCAGCCTGTGCTCTCTGGCGCCACCTACTGATCGAACAGCATTTCAACTCCCAAACCATAACCTTTGAATTTCTCTTTCCTCAGTAGAGCCTAATTGCTTTGGAAAAACCTAGATGCTTTTCCAATCCCACTGCCTGGCCCCTGGGATTGCACAGATATTGATATTTAAGACAATGGCATCCTAGAAAACCATCCTAAGGGTTAGTAGGAACTCACATCATCTTTGCATCCCTAAAGAGAAATGTCAGGTTAGTCAGTCTCAAGTTTCAAAACGGAAATGCTACAGGTTGGGTCACTTTAGGCACCAGGCACATTTAAGTCGACCGTGAATGCGGTAAGACGCTTGTGTAACATTTACCGGAGGACTCAAAAGCTTTGTTTCTTCAAATCCTCTTATTGGATAATTCACACCCCATCAGGTCCCAGTCATACTGTGACTCTCAAGAATCATTAACATTCGGTATATTTTACTCACATATCAATTTATTAGGAAACCATTCCTTTTTTTCTCATTAGCACTAAACATCTTTTTTCGGGGGGGTGTCAAGTATCCACGTAACATCATGTAGAAAATGGTCCTCATGCCAACAGATTTGTATCCATGTACTAAAACACTAATAAGCCCAGATTTTGGGGGGGCGGGGGTAATATTTCAGGATGGTGACTTAAGAGACGTTGGGAAGTCCCGTCTCCCACATAAATTTCACTAGATTGGAAAAAACCCTTCTCAGAACTGGGAAATCAAGCTGGACAAAACAAATGTATTCACTACTCAATGCATTTAATTCCAACCCCTAACTGGAATCATCTTGGCAACGTTCTACAACAGTTATAACACGGCGATTCAGAGGTGGTCTCGACATGATTACAGCATTTAAAAAAATTATAGTAAGCAGTATAAAATCACAATTTATTACAAGGGGAGGGGTTTCACAGCAAGCCTTAAAAACCTTAAGAGCAAACCTCTTAGAGAATTCTATTCACGCCTTCTTTTTTTTTTTTTGGTCACACCTTCCCCCCCTTTCTTTTGGTTTTTAAGTATTAATCTGGTATGGAATCTGCTGGACAGAGCAAGGCTGGGTGGGCTCCCCCTTGGATGATGGAGTAAGTCTGCTTAGGCAATTCTTGTTGGGAGGAGGAGGAGAATATAGGTGGGGCCGTGGTGGCCACGGCGATGTTTTGGTCTCCATCACTCACCACTGTCACTTCAGCTGTCCCCTCCTGAATCAAAGCGTTAAGGCCTTCAAAGTCAGTGCATGTAATACCCGAACTGGTGATGAAAGTCTGGTTGCCGGAGCCTTCCTGGGGGCTGCCTGGGGTGGTGGGGATGAGCGTCTGGTGCAGGGTGGCCCCATCGGCCTGGTCGTGAGTGGTCAGCAGGACAGCGGGCTGGCTCATCGCGCCCGCCTCGCTCGGGCACCCCGAGGGCTGAGGGGGGGCGATCAGATTGACCTGGCGCAGGATCTGCAGCCGGCTGTTCCCGGGGAGTTCCTCCGGGTTCTGGGCCACCAAGGCGGGCGGTACGATGTTCACGGCGGCGGCCGCGGCCTGGATGATGGTGTTGGCCTGGGGCACCTGATGCCCAACGATGATCTTGACTCGCCCCTCGCTGAACTGGGGCACTTGGCTGGGCTGGAGGGGCACCTGCAGGTGGCCCACGGTGAGGGGGGCGGCCGGCTGCTTGCTGGGGTCTATCTGGAACTGCAGGACGGTCACATCCGAGTTCTTATTCTCGTTGTACTCACTGTGCTGCCTCTTGTGGCTGCGGAGCGAGTCCTCGCGCATGAACGAGGCGTCGCATATGTCACAGTGGAAAGTCTTCTTGGCGTCCAGCTTGGCCACCTGCCGGCTGCTCTGGCGGCCCGCGTCTTTCCTCTCCGACACCTCGGTCTTCACCATGTCCCCGTGGAACTTCTTCATGTGCTTGCTCAGGTTGCTGGGCTGCTTGGTGTCGAAGCTGCAGTAGTGACACTTGAAGGGGCGGTCGGTGCAGTGGATGCGCTCGTGGATGCGCAGCGCCGCCTTGCTCGAGCAGGAGTAGCTGCAGTCCGAGCACTTCTCGGGATGCTCCGACTGGTGCACCCGGCTGTGCTTCCGGAGGGTGGCTTTGCTGTCACCCAGGAAGTCGCAATGCGGGCACTTGAAGTTATTTCCGCTGTGCTTGATGCGGATGTGCGACTTGAGGTTGCCCTTCATGGTGCAGCGGACATTGCAGAACTCGCACTTGAAAGGCTTCTCCCCCGAGTGCACGCGCATGTGCCTTTTCAAGTCCGAGCTGATTTTGAACTTGGCGCTACAGAGCCAGCACTGGAAGGGGGCGTCCCCTGTCAACACAAGGTGAGTTTCGATAAGAACAGGCAGGCAACAACCACAGCGGATTCCCCCCGAAGCACACACCAGAAAACCGCTTATACCAAAGGCGGGCGGGTGGAGACCTTCTAACTGCAGCTGCTAGCAGCCCCTGGGAGGAAAAAAAAGGGGGGCTGGGGGTGGGGTGGGGGGGCTTCTTTTCTTTCCCCAAACCTAAACCACCAGCACCGTTATAAAAACCCACAAGAAAAACGGGAGATGGAAAAGCGCTATTCAATGGTCCCAAATAAAATAGTACTTGTGAGCATACTCATGTTCTTTAAAACGATCAAGCTACACCGTTCATTCTGCTAAAGGACCCACTCTGCTAGTTAACGGTTCACAGTTGTGTAAATTTTGCATCATCCGTTCACTTTGATTGAGTTACATGTTGTAACAGATTCGAGGACACATTTTGGAATCCGTCAGCTCCATGCTCACTCATCAGAATCGTCTGTATAAAGCCACTGAAAACGCCCAGCTTACACTTCATGCAGATTTTTATTAATAAAGACGTGTTTATTGCGCCAAATTTATTTATCCCACATTGCCAGCTGCGTTCTTTACTTGTGAAGTTACGAAATCCAGCTGCTTGATTTTATTTTATTATTTTTTTTTTATTCATGTTCGCTGAAAGATGAGCAGGCAAAGTGAAATTGCAACCATCTGAATGCACATGATACTCCAAATCTATTTCCTCAATGAATGGCAAGTCCGAATTATCTAAGGCACTGATAATTCAAGCAAATTGGTGACCCCGCCCATTTCAGTATTGTTAAAGCAAAGTAGCAGCTAACATTCTTCGGTTGCTTCCAGGATGGCAGGCACTCTGATGAGCACTCCACAAGAATGGTCTCATTTGATGCTCTCAACAGTCCCACGAGGTGGGTACTATTATCAATATTATTCTTAACACTACTGTACAAATGAGGCCTAGAGAGACTACGTAACTTGTTCACCGTCCCCCTGTAGTACGTAGCAGGGCTTGGATTCCAACCCAGGCTGGTTCCAAAGCTGGTATTCTTAGATGCTGGGTAATTATCTGTGCATATGCCTGATGTTCGCTTTCTTACGCCATAAGCTCAAAGATGGGATCGTATTCCGGCTTTTTGGTATAAGGCCTAAAACATCACCGTAAGCTGCTTAATAAATGCAAGTAAGTAACGATGACAGGGAGCAAATTTAACAAGCTCCTAGAAAACTGAGAAGCTCAAACCTAAACAATGCTTTGTATGACTAAATACCACCAAGATCATCCACACTAAGCTCCAGAACAAGGAATGGTAAGCTATAGCCTGTGGGCCAAACCTGGCCCACAGCCTGTTTTTATAAATAAAATTTTATTGGAATCTAGACCACGCCCATTTGTTCATGTGTTGCTTATGGTTGTTCTACACTACAAAGGCAGGGGTGAGCAACAGTGACAGAGACAGTATGGCCTGCAAAGACTAAAACATTTACTATTTGGCATTTTATAGAAAGTTGGCTGACTCCTGCCTTGGAATCTTATTCTTAACTTCTTTTATGCCATCAACTCCTTTTTGGCAGTTTAGTGAAATGCACAGATCTTTTCTTAGAATAATGTTTAAATACACAAAGTAAACTGAAATAAAAATCTGTAGGAATGCAAAAGAAGCCAAGTATATTGAAATAGTTATATAAAAAAATTAAAAGAAAAAATTCATGATATAGCAATGTGTGTGCTTTAATAAAATCTTTTAAGTAATCTCTACACCCAATATGGGGCTCGAACTTATAACTCCAAGATCAAGAGTCCCATGCTCCACCAACTGAGCCAGCCAGGCGCCCCATGTGTGCTTTATTCATGCATTAAATAAGAAGCTCTAGTAGCAGATCTATAACTACAATAATTTCTAAATAGAGAAGAGCATAAATGATATATTGAACTATCTACAACAACTGTTCTGAAAAGATCTGTGATCTCTGCTGAAGACAACTTCACAGGCACTATTCTTGGATCAGTTGCCAATTTTCATAATTGAAGGACACACCCAATTTCAATACAGGTTAGTGAAAATGAGGATCTAACTTTTTTTCGATGTAAGTTCATGGACCATCTAAATTCTATTCATGGATCCCTGAGTGGAGGTATCTGTATACCCAGAGTAAGAATCCCTGCTTTAGAATATTCTAATAGGTTTTCCTGTTACATTCCTGCCCAAATAAGTGACAGTCTTTTTGCCTATTTTTTTTTTTTAAATAATCAGCAGAGGTGAAACCCAGAAACACCACCAGATAACCAAATCTCACAGCAGAGATGCAGAGTTAACAACACTCTTTGATATGAAAACAAAGGTTTTAAATCCCTTTGTCATTTCTTTCTCTTTCTTTCTTTCTTTCTTTCTTTCTTTCTTTCTTTCTTTCTTTCTTTTTTTTCTTTTCTTTCTTTTTTTACCACAGATTTCTTAATTGAGGCCAGTAATTGTTCCATGGGATCAAAAGCTCTCCAAAACTAATGATTACATTTATTCCTGCCCAGTATGTGATCCTCACAGTGTCTAGTACCTAGTGGGGACTTAATGAATGTTGTTGAATGAATAAGCAACTGATATATATAAGCCGACAGATCTTTTTTGAGTTTAGGTTGCTGCTAAAACCATTGATGATGAGTCAACCCAAACGATCAAAGGATGAAAACCAAATCCTATTAATTTTACAATCTGTAAAATTTTCTAAATGCCACAGATTTATAAAAGGGAAATGAACATTCCGTGGAAACACTGCGTAAATGGTACACATTTAAAGTTTTAGAAAATGCACCTTTTCTAGACCAATTTGAAGATGCTACTATAAATGGCAAGTTTATCCTAAGAAGTCAAAAATGATTCTGAACCACTTTCATAAATGAGTCCTTTAGCTCATCTAACATAGGCTGGGGAGATTTCTGAAATACATCAGTTGGCCATTGGTTATGCCCATGTCTTAACTGGCTTTAGTAGATGACAAAAATGTTCCCAAAGCTCACCACCTCGCCTCCCTCCCTGTAGCCAGACCTCTGCCATGTGTGTAGTTGTGCGTTGTCTCCTGATAGGGACGGGATGACCTGCCATGACCCTCAACAATTGGGTCATTGGATTTGGCTGATGGTATCTTAAGTAGACTTCATATGAGGAACGGCTTGAAATGGGCTTGTGCACTGGGGTTTGCTTGCTTGTACCTCCATCAGCCATCACCATGAGAAGAGTGAGGCTGGCTTAGCACACTGGTCCCAGGAGGAGGGTGACAGAAATGTGGAGTAGAGCTGGATTGCAGCAGCCAAGACCAGTGGACAGACAGCTCACGGCCAGCAGATTCTCAGACATGTAATGGAGTCCAGCCAAGATCAGAACTGCCGAGGTGATCCCCAGCATGTCAACGGAAAAGACATGTCACCACATCCACTGAGATTTTGTGGGAATATTTGTTCTGCTGCATTTGTGTGACAACAGGTAGCTAATACAGAGATTGGTATCTAGGAGCAGAGTGCTGCCCTAACAGGAAATGAAAATATGTAACGTGGGCATTGGGATGGATGGTAAGAAAAGACTGGAGAAGTGGCATGTGCATATTCCTGAATGGCAAACATTTGGTCAAACTGTCACCTGCAGTAACTTATAAGATAGAGAATATAATACACTTGTTCAATTTGGGACTTGAGCAAAAGAGATTAATTCTGGACAGAACAGTGGAAGTGTCTCACGAGCTGCACATGATGAGGTCCTATAAGGAAACGAAAAACTCAAAAAAAGAAACGGCCATTTTCTAAATGGAATTTAGAGATAATAGACCAAACCAAAGATGTGCTGGGTTAGATAAAATTTCTCACCTCCAACTAGCAGAGTCTTCAAAGTAAGACAGAAGCCTAGGGACAAAGATCATCCCCAGGGACGTGATCTCAGGGGGAAGACTGAATGAGAAATGATGGGTATGAATATAAGTCTCTTCGTAAAAATCTCCAAAAGAATTAAGTTGGCACCAAGTAGGTGGACAAGGATTCCCAGGAACATCAAGGGATTCAGCCACAGAAGGTCATATGCCACAAGTGCCTACAACGGGGTTCAGAGGAAAGGAGAGTCTCCGAAAGAATCGTGGGGTGGCTTTCGGCACGCAGATGCACAGGAAATTCACGAAATTTTGCACATGGCTCTACTGGCAAACCCGTCACCACCCTCAACTAAAAAGAGCCCTACTTTTAGTAGGCAGGAAGCAGGCTGAGAAAGTTTCACAAAAGTACATTTTCCACTACTTTTCGGAAGTGGCTCAGGCAGATGAAGGAAAGGATGCTGCAGTGGGCAGAGTCAGGAACCAGGGAGCAGAGCCGAGCCCCAACCAGGAAACATTTCCTGTCCCCAGAGTGTGGGGATGTGGGGACATTTACCCAGAGGGATTCTGGTAACCTGTGGAGCAGTGATTGCCAAGTGCTGCCCGTTCTTCCCCTTGCAAACAGGATTACTGGAATTACCCTGGCTCTGTTTCACCACGGTGCATCGGGAATGTAGGAACAGATGATTTGTCATTTACTTCAAAGGTCTCTGGGTCAAGAGAAGCCATATTCAGACCTGATGGAGGTCAGACAGGATCCCGGTGTCTGAACCTGATCCCGTGATCAAATGTGACTTACATGGCTCTTGGGAAGGCATGACTACACCTGCATGTCCCGAATTGTGAGTGATGGTGGAGTGGACTGTGGTTGTTTGCAAAATGGTCCCAATTCTTTATCCTTCCTCCTATCTCTGGCCTTTGCCCTGTAACCTCGTGGTGACCTCCCACGGTGGGTGAGCCCAGCCCCACCACATAGCCTGCTTCAGTCAACGGGATGCAAGCAGAAGCTTGAGATGGGCTTATCCACCGGCACATCCTTGCTTGTACCCCTGCCACTGTCATGAGAAGGATAAGCCTGGGGTAGCCCACAGGTCCAAAAAGAGGATGAGAGGCACGTGGAGCAGAGCCAGACTGCCCCAGCTAAGCCAAGTGTACAGCCAGCTAACCCACAGGCCGCAGATCCCCAGCCAAAGTCAGTGGACACCCAGCCTTTCCTGCTACATGTGATTGAGCCCAGTTAAGATCAACAGTGTCTAGCCAGCTGGCTAGACCTGCAGTGTGTGAGCAATAACCACTTATTATAATCTGCCACTGAGGTTTTTGTTGTGGTTGTTACACAGCATCATTGTATCAATAGCTAACTGGTCCACTTGAAATGTGAAGGATTTGTTAGGTTACCTGCTCTGCTGCGTTTTTCCACAAAGCTGAACTGAGTTTGCTTCAAAAATGATCGAGATGCAGAAACTATGCAGAAATGTATTAAGAAGGCATTGTTTATATTTATAGCTCTTCGTCATTCGGCTCACCTCCTCATTAAATACTTCACTAGTGAATAAGTCATAAAGTTACAGGAGGATACACAGGAGGTTATAAACTCGAGGTTTTTCCCTAATCGACTGAGAAAGGCACTTCCAGCTGGATGCAAAGTGAACCTGCAAACAGTGCCACGAGCGGACGTCCCCATTTGTGGACCTAGATCGTGACTCAGTGCTTTAAGGTGCTTTTAAGCAGCTGGAAGTGAGGAGCACAGCGCGAGAGCAGTATGAGGGACCTACCTGTGTGGGACCGCAGGTGCACGGTGAGCTGGCTGGAGTTGCGGCTGGCGTAGGGGCAGATCTGGCACTTGAAGGGCCGCTCATCCGAGTGTATGCGCAGGTGTTTGTTGAGGCTGCTGCTGTCAGCTGCGGCGTAGTCGCACGTCTTACACTTGTAGGGCTTCACACCTGTGTGGCAGCGCATGTGGGTCTTCAGCTTGTCCTTCCGGCTGAAGCACTTGCCACAGACCTCACACTTGTGGGGCTTGTCTCCTTCAAACACACACACACATGGCATCAGGAAACAACACTAACCAAGAAAGAGGCTTCTTTCCCCACTACCTTATGGGTAAGAGAGGACTATGTGGTCACCGGAGAAAATTTAGGAAACCCCAAATGCCAGAGAAGAAAATATGCCAAGACCTAACATCCCAGGAAAGGGGGAGTTTTTTTTCCATTTTGCCTACTGTGATTTTCTAATTTTTCCTACATTCAAGATTGTTCCTAATTGGCCCCTATTCATTTCCTAATCAATTCCTTATCAATTAAAAATAGAAGGCCATGCAAACGCCTAAAGTAGAGCCAAGTAAAGTAAGGAACTGTTGATTGTCTCATCCCGTTCCCTCCTCTCGTCTTCACAGACACACGCTACAACTCAGTGGCTCTAAGTTTTCGGAGAGCTCCTGGGAAGGCAGCTCAAGGCTAAGCCTCGCCTGCAGCCAGGTGTCATTCTGCTACAACGTCCTCGCCCATGAAATGGCAGAGAAGGTAAATGTGTCCCTTTTGTAAAGGACATGGTTTTGTCTTTTATTTTTCTTTTTCCACTCTTTCTGCCAACTGTTTCCACGATGTGGGGTGAACTGGCAGGGGAGGGCAGCTTGCCTGCAGAAGGCAGATCTTTGACATGATGCATTATAATGACACAGAAGGAACTTAAGTCCCTGGATTATCCGGTAGGACAGAGCCACCTACCTGCCCTAGACACCTGCTTACCTCCGGACACTTAGTTGAAAGACACATAAACGCCTATTGCGTGGGAGCTGGTGTTTGGGTTTCTTTGTCATAGCAGCTTCGTTGACTTATACTCACTAATGTACATGTCAACTTACTCCCTGTGAACAACTGCTGATTTCTTGTTGGATATCTTTCTAGTTATTTGTATGTCTGTATGTATTTTTGGTACCAAAAACCTTTCTGGCTAACATCAGCTTAAATACTTTCTGAAAGGCAACTGTGCCTCTCAATAAAGGTTTTCCTTGATTCTCTCAAGAACTGGGATTAAACCCACAACTCTTTTGCTCTCTGAGCCAAACACAGCAGTGCCTCCCTGTTGACTTTCTTGTACTTAAAATAATTCTGATCATGTTCACATCATGAAATAACTAGGACATGACTTTTAAAGCTTTTAAATACTTTTAAAAGTATTTTACTGGTGAATGTACCATCAATTATTGAACCAGTTCCCTATCAGGCCACTGAAAAGAATGAAGCAGATATGTACTACTGATGTGGAAAGATGACCAATATTAAGTGGAAAACAGCAATTTGCAGTGATAGGATATATAATATTAACTTAATAAGAGATGGAAAAAGTAGATTCTGTGTGTTTTTGGCTCAGCATAGGTATGCCAAAATTTAAGAACGAGACACAGTAGATTACTAAACCTGGTGACTCTGGGCTTATATTGGATAGGGAAGCAGGTTGTGAATCAGGATTTCCCCTTTTTACTTTATATATTAAATATGTCTTTTGACCAAATCCTATATAGCTAAGTGTTAAAGTCAATTGTCAGCCAAAGCTGATCACTACTGTCACAGAGCAAACATCTGGGATTTAAGAGTATACCTAAAAGTGTCTAAAAGATTATCATTCTATTAATAAAAAATGTTAGTAGTCAAATTTAGAAATCCACAAGCAATAATTTCTCATGATTGTCAGCGGCCGATTAGCTGCCGTGGTCTCCAGGCTGTGTATGTGCCACACTGAGCAGCTGCCAGATGCTGGTGAAGGATGGTTTCCAGCTAGTTCTCCTGGTGAAGAGCTTGCCAGTACTGCTCCTGGCCATGCCATCCTCTCTGGAAGTAACTAAGGTGAGGACACCTTGTCACCTCTCCAGCCTGAAGATGTTACTGGAGATGCTGCTGTCATGGAGAAACTATCCTACGAGCCCACGCTGGGCCAAGTGCGTGCATAAGGTGCTTCCTGAAGGTGTGTAGAACCTGACTTAAGGTTGCAGCTTCGCTTATGTATTTACAGTGTTTCCTTAATCCTCATGAATAATGACAGCACTCTGCTCTGGCTACGATGAGTATGCTATGCTTCACTTGACTGACGGAACTCATTAAACCCGCACGGAGATATTCATTTTTTATTACATCGAGAATGCTTATCAACACTTGAAACTTACTATTCTGATAATTAGAGTAAATCCAAATGACATGACACCGTGAGGTTGGCTAGGGTAGGATGGTGACCCTAGTATAACAAGGCAATCGCTGGCCATGGCCAACAAATTTCAGAAATCACTGCTGGGTACTTGATCTTCCAAAGGTTTGAGGCTAAATAGCAATCTTTGGGCAATTAGTGACACCCCAGCCAAATCTCAGCACACCCCTACCTTATACACACACTCTCTGTATTCATATTCTCTCATTTGAATTAAGAGTATCTAATATTTGGTTAAAAATAGTCTAGGGACTCGTGAGTGGCTGGAACTCCTGGGTGGCTCAGTGCATGATCCCAGAGTTCCGGGATCAAGTTCCACATCGGGCTCCCTGCGAGGAGCCTGCTTTTCCCTCCACCTATGTTTCTGCCTCTGTCTCATGAATATATAAATAAAACCTTTAAAAAAATAGTCTAAATGCAGTTCCTTCTCCATTCAGAAAATCTGGGAGACATAAAAATAATATATTAAAGAAAATTAAAATCACCAGAAATAAGCACATTTTTCTTTTCCATGCATCAACCTTTTCTTCTCCTTTTACTTTTTTTTTTTTTTTTTTTAAGTAATCTCTACACTTCAGGTGGGGCTTAAACCCACGATCTCAAGATCAAGAGTCACAGCCTCCACTGACTGAGCCAGTCAGGCTCTCCATCAATCTTTCCCTCTCCTTTAAAAACAAAAACAGAAAATATTCACTTATTAAATTTTACCTTCAAAATGACAAAAATAACACACATATGCTGTGTGTCCAGTGATACAATGTAAAGATACATAAAAAAATTTACTATTCTTCTCCCTTATTCCTTTATCAAAAATTACACATACACATTTATAGGATCATCTCAAAATGAGAATATGCACGTTTATTTATTTATTTATTTTTTAAAGATTTTATTTATTTATTCATGAGAGACACAGAGAGAGGCAGAGACGCAGGCAGAGGGAGAAGCAGGCTCCATGCAGGGAGCCCGACTTGGGACTCGATCCCGTGTCTTCAGGATGAGGCCCTGGGCCGAAGGTGGCGCTAAACCGCTGAGCCACCGGGCTGCCCGAATATGTACATTTAAATTTTAATTAATTCTGGCAGATTGTCAAAACAGTTGGAGCCATTCACACCTCCACCAGCTAAGTTTGCTCCTATCTGTTCCAGCACTGGATTTTATTGCTTTTTAAGCATTTTCTGCCAAAATCATGTGTGGAAACACCATCTTATTTTTATTGAATTTCTGTTTGTTTTCCTGTGACAACCAGTGAGGTTCTGTGTCTTATCATACGTCTGGCTTGTCTGGATCCCCGGCTCCTAGCACTGAGCACACGTTCCCGGCAGATGTGCCAAAGAAATGTCACTTACCAGTGTGAATTTTTAAATGACGCTCCATGTCCTTCATGCCATAGGCAGTCTTGAACTGGCAACCTTAAAAAGGCAGGAAAAGATTAATTACAAGGGAAAACATAGTAATTTAAAGGTGGAGAAAGCTGGCAGAAACTTCCTTAACCAAGTGACAAGGGTAAACCCCGCAATAAACAGGACAAACAGGTATCATGTGCCGTCTGATACGACGCACGAAGAAGGATACGCATCACTTCTGTGCTTCCCAGCCAAAGCGCAGAGCCTAAATCTAATCATGAGGAAATATCCGACAAACCCAAACTGAGGAACATTTTACAAAATAACTGGCCTGTACTTTGCAAAAATGTCTAGGTCATTAAAGACACAAGTTTAGGATTCAAGGAAACTAAAGAGATAAGAAAACTCAAAGCAACATGTGATCATGAATTGGATCCTAAACCAGGAGAAAATGTTTTTCTTTTGTGATAGAGGACAAGAATAAGATGCTAGTAAAATATTAATAAGGTCAATGGTTTGATAATAGTGTATATAAATGTTAATTTCCTTTCCTTTTTTTTTTTTTTTTAAGTAAACTCTCTGCCCTACATGGGACTCAAACCACGACTCTGAGATCGAGTCACATGAGCCAGCCAGGTACCCCTAAGTATGAAATTTCTGATTTTGATGATTGTGCTATCGTTTATAAAAGAACTTCCTTGGTTCTGGGAAATATACATTGAGGTATTTAGGGGTAAAAGGACATCATGTTTGCAACTTACTCTAAAGTGGTTTCGGGGGAAAATATGTATTTATAGAAAGAATGATGAAGCAAATAAAATAGGTTAACATTTGGGAAACCCAGATTAGAGGCATACAGACATTTTTGTCCTATTTTTGCAACTTTTCTCTGAGTCTGAAATTATTTCCAAATAAAGATTTTTGTTTTTGTTTTTTAAAGGAAACAGCAATCTTTCTGGATGTCTCCCTAAGCTTAGCACAGAAAGAAAAACACAGTAACCTGGATACTCATGAGTCCCGTTTCAAAGGTCCACGGCTGTAAAAATCGTCCACATGCACGGTGACCAGGGACAGCGAGAGATAGGTCGTATGTGATGATGTAAATGCTGGTGGACTCTGGCTTTTAAGCCCGGCAGTTTGGAGCACATCTATACCCAGTTGTCAGGACTCACGAGCGAGAGCCCTAGAATCTGCTAAATGTCACATTCTCTACGCAAGCCGGACACAATGCTGCCTCTACCTGGATAGCAACAGTTAAGCCTCTTCTGAGCAGGTGGGGCTGTGGGCTTTTTGGCACGTGACTTGGCAGGCAGAGAGATGACAGTGGCTGTCTGGTTTTCATTGCTTTCCGTGGGCAGGTATGTCTGATAGCCATGTTCAAACACAAATTCTGGAGCTGAAACTAAAAGATGATTATTAGTTTTCATAGTATGAATACCCAACAGCTATTCCCTTTGCCTACCTTCCCTTGTAGAGAATGCACAGGCTAAACTGCTTTCCCAGTCTTCTCTGCCACTTAAGAGTAATCCTGTGACCCCATTCTAATCACTGAGACACTAGAGAACATTTGTTGTTCTGGGGCTTCTGGACAAGATTTTCTCCCTGATTTAAAAAAAAAAAAAAAAAGCATTTGAGGAAAGCTCATTTGTGCTGTCATTGTTGCCCATATCCTAGGTCTGCTGGGGAGAGGAGGTGATGCCTGGATCTGTGGCAGCCGTTCTGTAACCATAAGGGGAGAGCAGGAAAATCTGGTGTTGAGCCAGAGCTCTGAAACGCTTCAAATCTAGACCTATTAAATAAACAAGAATTGTCCCTGTCATTTATACCAGGCAAGCTTTCTATTATCTCCAGCCAAACGCATTTGGTACTTTCATAAGCTCTATCACAAAATCCTAGCAAACAGCTAGAAAGAAACTGATCAAGGGAATTCTGGCCCAAACTATAAATACTCTCTAAAAACATAAGTCCTCCTAAAAGAAAGCCTTGTTTTCTTACTGAAGTCTTCAGAGGAAAAAAAAGAGAGATCAAACACCTTTATCATCTCTATTTTTGTTATTAGAAAAGATACAATAAGCACTCTCAAATTTCTTTCTCTGCTTATACAAATTTTCGTGACTACTCTGTTAACTAAATTTATGGTTTTGGGTTTGGAAGTCTTTTCTTCCTTTATTTTACATAATTTGTCACATGGAGATCTGGTTTCACACGAGGAGTCCATATGACCAGTGGTGGTTTCTGTTCGTTGGGTGAGTCTGTCAGGCTGAGAGGCCCTAACGACGACTCTGAAAGCCACTGTCACATTCTGTTTCCCCAACTTCAGTCACCGAGGCATCACCTTCAGCATTTCTGCCATTGTATTTATAGAGTCTCCTTATTAAAATGAGCCCCGGCCTAATATCACTACTTATTTTGGCTTTGTCTAGAGCAGTAATGTCCATGCCACGGGTTTGTGGTACTAGTTATATTTTCTCTTTAAACAAACATCATCTTTCTTTGAATCTAAGATCTTGTAGAGTCTAAGAGGCACCATTATTTTTTTAGTACAATAAATTAAAGCTGCCAACTACTACGATGCAATGCTTTCACATTCCTTGTTTTACATTTATTGATATTCCTTAGAAATTGTACATTTATTGAATGAATTATTTTCGGTTTCTTTGGACATTTGACAGGAAACCCAGGTTCCTTATCTCCACCTTTTGAGCACCTCTGGCATCATTGATGCATGTCCAAGAACACCCAGTTTCTACCAGCATTTGCTACTCCAGTAAATGGTTTCATGGTTTCAACTGCAATATGCAGGGTGAAGTTAAGTGGCTTTTATTTAAAGTTGGCCAAAAGATTCTGACAAACTGATGTCCGTCTTCACCCAAGTGCCTTGGAGGCCTGGATCAACCGCACCTGCCTCTTGTTGAAACGTTTCAACTACCCTGTGGGTTTTGGCTTTTGCTCCTGCTTCCCTTGCTCTGCTCAGTTCTCAAAGCGGAGGGGTCCCCAGCCAGCAGCACTGCACTTATGGGGGGAACTTGCTACAAAGACAGATCCTCAGGCCCCACCCCAGCCCCCTGAATCAGAAGCTCTGGGGTGGACCCAGCAAGCCTGTGTTCTAACAAGCCACCCTGAGTGTTCTGATACATGCTCAAGTTTGAGAACCACTGGCGTACACGGTTCTTTTCCATGAACCTCAGCAGTAAAACTTAACCCAACTTTGTCTGATTCTGGGAATCCATCTTTCCTGTTTGTTGCTTTGCAAGAACTGCAGTTGTTCCTCCAACAACCACCCTTTGCTTCATGAGTATCAAGTGGACCCCCGCTACTGTTTGCAAGTATTTCTGGGTACACAGTTACTTTTCATCTTTAACTGGAATCATCACACAGTATCTTGGAAGATGTTTCAACAATGAAGCTCAATACACGGAATTCCAAAAAAAAAAAAAAAGAAAATGCATGCCACTCTGCCAAAGTGACAAAAACGTGTTCAGCCATGTTCAAGTTTGTTCACAGAAAAAAAAAAAAAAAGTTTGTTCACAGGCTCACAAAAGACTTTTTTTTTTTTGGTGATTGCCTGTTGGTTGACAGCAATCTCATTGATTCTGACATGCTCCTCTATTTCAGATATGTTAAAATCTATCTTCGAATTAATATGAGGCCAAGTCTCGCCACTTACTGTGTGTGTGTGTGTGTAGGCCAGATACATAACCTTTTTTTAAAAAAATATTTATTTATTTATTTCAGAGAGAGAGCATGCGAATGAGTAGGGGGATGGGCAGAGGAAGAGAGACAGTGAGAATCCAAAGCGGATCCCACACTGTGTGGAGCCCAACGTGGGGCTCGACCTCACAACCCGGAGACCATGTCCTGAGCAGAAACCAAGTGTTGGTCACTCCCATGTAACCTCTCTGGGGCTCACTTTCCTCACCTGGGGGATGGGGATAATTTCTATCCCTATCTCCTAGGGCTGTGGTGCAGATTAAAAATCAGGCATGTAAAACTGTTAGTGCCGTTGTCATTATTCACGACCTTATCCAGCAAATATTTATGAAGCACCTACCTTGTGCCAGGCACTCTTCTAGGCACTAGAGACACATCAGTGAACAAAAAGGACAACAAACCTGCCTTCATGGAGCTGACACTGGTTGGGAGTGGTGCAGGCAATAACTAAACATATGCTATACAGCTAATACAGAGCTAAAGGCTATGCAGAGAAATAAAGCAGAAAAGGGGCACAGGGAATGCAAGGGGGGAAATGCAATTTTATGTAGGGTCATCCATGGAAGGTGACATATCAGAATACGGAAGCACATACTTATTAATACTTTCTGTCGCAGGTGGCTGAAATTCAACAGCCAGCAAAGGGGCCTGGGGGCATCTCTTACCAAGTCTTGCTGGAGCCTCTTGGCTGGCTTTATAGAGGGTCATCCCCTCCCATCTGATCCCCCATACCTGGCTTCTTTCCAGGCTGCTCTGGGAACAGCAGAGCCTATAGATCCCCCAGGGAAAGGCTTCAAGTGGCCTTGGTCCTTGGGAGGTTGCCTGAGGCCTGGTGAAGTGTTTGTGTGAGTTGATGTTGGACTCACCACTAATCCCCAGGTGTGTATAGTCCCACTGACCCGAGACCAACTCTTTGCAAGCACTCAGGGCCTCATCTCCTCTGGCTTGGCTACTAAAACCAGTCCCACGTTTAGTGAGATCAGCCCCCCCTACCCCCAGTAGCTCACAGCCTCACATCCCTCCTGAGGGCTTTTGCTTTGTTTCTTGTCCCCCTGGAATTTCTCTTGCTGCCCTGTGTGTCCAGGTGTCCATCTGAGAGCCTGTTTGTTGTAGTCAGCCCTGGTCTGTAGTGGTAGCACCTCGGGTGTTCTGTGACTCAGTTACGATGCTGCTTAAAATGTAAGACTGTTATATGAATGCCACAGGGAACCAGAATCTTTCTCTCTGAGGTCATACCCATCCGTTTCTGAACCTGCTGGGCTCACATGGACCACTAGTCTAGCTCCTTTCTCACGAAGCTGCCCTTTGGATATCTGAAGACAGTTTTCACATCTTCCAACGCATTTTGCTTCTCCCTTCTCTTCTTCAATTTAAAAACTCCACTTTTTATTCTTTTTAAATTAAAAACTGTGTTTTTCTTAAAGATCTTATTTTAAAGTCATCTCTACATCCAATATGGGGCTCGAACTTACAACCCTGAGATCAAGCATCTACTGACAGAGTCAGCCAGGCACCCCTGTATTGCTGCTGCTGCTGCTCTTTTTTTTTTAATAAAAGTAAACACTAATTGTAGAAAATCTAAGGAGTACAGAAAAAGGGTAGAGAAGAAAATAAAAGCTGCCCAAAGCTGCCCATAATATATCATATGACAATATATACCCCTTCATTATATGCTCATTATATAGTATACTTTTTCTCTAAAGCATTTATCTCTACTGTGATTACATAATTAGTTGGGAAGTTATTTAATGACTACCCTCTCCTCCCCTTTGGCTGGATGAGCCACTCGAGGACACACCTGTCCTCTCCCTCACTGTCTCCCAGCACCTAACACAGAATTTGGCAAAGGCAGTGGCTTAACAGACATTTGCGAATTAATGATCAACCTAATGGAGAAGATATTCTTTGTATACAGATTTTAAAAGTATAAAACTCGCAATGTGGCTTAAATCATTTGTAATCTCCTTTTTTTTTTTTTTTTTTGCCATTTGAAGCTGTTTGCCATGCTATCATTCATCCAAAACACAATTTCAAATGGCTACCTACTACCCCTTCATTTTGGTGGTGGCATGGCTAAATTATTTATTCCCTTGTCTTTGACAGTGAGTTGGCTTCTAGGTATTATTTTTATAAATAACACCTATGCCCAATTTTTAACTGACATCCAGATTCTCTGGATACGTTCCTCTAAATGTTGAAGAATTGGTCAGAATGGTATGGCCATTTAATTGCTTGCTGATACATAATTATAAGATCTTTTCCAAAAATCTAAATCCATTTACATTCTCTCCTTTATTTCTGCTAGCTCGATGGCTATGTGACAGGACAAAATGAGATCAACTTAGTTTCATGTGCATTTCTTTCATAATTGGTGAGGATGGACCCCTTTCAACACTTTTTATCCATCCCTATACTCTCTATAGTGAGTTCCCTGTTTATGCTATTAGCTCTTTCTTTTTCTATTGAATTTCATTTTTTTTCCCTCATTGACTTGTACATGAGCTTTACTGATGAAGGATATTACTACATTCTCATATATTCAAATCTATTGTTCTTTTCTTCCTGTTTCTTAACCAATGGTCTCCGGGCCTATGATTCACATTTAGGGTTCTGGATTCAACTGCAAACTCCAAATTCCTCTCCTGAGAGAAAGAGGTTTTCATGCCAGTGGTGCACATGGACCCCACCAGG